TGAAGGCTGGTCATAAAGCGACTTCGCGGCTTGTCTCTTCACTGATATAACCTCACACTCGTAAAAATGTTCTTGTTCATGTTTGAACACATAAATTTCATGTTCAAATATTTACATTTAATGTGTATTCGAGTTAAGTTTTAACGCAATAGCGACGAGATAATTAACTATTATACATTAATATGATGATTTTTATTGTAAAAACATCTTTTATTCTCATCATCTTTTGTAAATCAAATGGTGTAATGTAAATGGAATTTAATTTTTTTAAATTTAACTCCAGAAAATTTTCCACAATACGCTTTACATGGAGTTAACTTCTCAATTTGATATGAACAAACCAGAAAACACAAAGTCTAAACTATTCCTTGTTGCTTACTAATACTACATTTACGATAAGGAACAATGAGTAGCCAGTATACAGCTTTAAGTGTGGCAATTAACTTTAAACTCTAAACTGTCGATCGTCAACTTATCGTGACTGTTTTATAGTATCATGCAATAAAAGTAAATAAACACACAGGTATAAAAGTTGGTTTGACGCGTTTCGGTATGTAAATTAGCATAATGCAATTCGTCTAGACTAGACGAAGTGCGGTGCGCGCGTGCCGAGCTCACGGCGACTGGAGGTGAACGCTGCACTTGCATTGCCACCGCGCGGTCACACAGTAACTACTTATCCTTGTATATTTCATTCCACCTTCGTTTTATTCTCCTTTACTGCATTGATAAAGACTGCAGACAGACTTTAACGGTTTTCTTAAAGGTCGTTTACATTGAAACTACCTTTCAAACTTTTAAACTATTCATATATAAAAATACGATCTCCAAATAGTTAGCCACTTCGTATAAATATAAAGATCGCTCGTATACTGAATTATGTTCATTGATTTTTTTATAAAGTTTTATTAAAACTTTAAATGCATAAAAAACAAATACGAAATGAATTCATCGATTTGTTTTCTTTTATTAAAAATTTTCAACATTCCTTTCATGTTATTGTTTTTTTATAATCGTTACGCAAAGTCGATATCAAGTAGCGGGCACGTCAAGGCAGAAGGCAGTCTAGCTCGCTTTGTGAACGAGCTGACGTCACGGCGGCGGCATTCGGTGTTTGTATTATAGCCTAGGCCAGTCTAGACAGCGCGCGCTGTCAGAGGACAACAGACAAGGCCTGAGAAACGTCTGGAGGTGAGATGAAGGCCTCTTAGCTACCTTACAAATGCACCGGCGGAGGCGGTGGCGGCGGCGGCGGAGCTCCTATTGTGAAAGTGCGCCGATACGGTACAATAAGCACGTATCTTAACATTAAGTTAACAGTACGTGTTTCGACGAACACTATTATTACGCTAAGTAAAACTTTTGCGTATTTTTTTAAATACGTTTTATTTGATTCACCGTTTTTCAATAAAAGCTTATTATCGATAATTTCGTAAATGTTTCGATAATGAGCTATAGATATTTTATAGAATACAATTATTAACATGTACATATTAACGTTAAATGCCTATGTAATGTTTAACTAATATAAATTTATCAAAAAAGCTAATTCACTCACGATTAGGTACTGTCAATACATGAAATCCCGGAAGCGCCAGAAGCGACATGCCACCATAGATATTGATGTTGTCATTAATTAGCGAAGCTATGGGCCGCAGACATCAGCCCGCCCCGTGGCTAATGGTGGCCGTCTAGACCACCCCCTCTTCCCGCTTATCCGCGCTCACCGCACCCCTGACACCCACGCCGCAGGCCCCGTGGAAATCCCTACACCTGGACAATGAGAACACCGATAGCCACAAAAGGTTTAGGGGTTTATTTTTTTGAAAGTCAATTTAATTTTAATTTTAGAAAGTCAATCCTTACTTAGGCCAATAACTTTTACCATAGTATCTTTATATTTCTATGACAAAAAAATAATTACTAACTTATACCGGAGACATTGTGTGAGCAGGATTAAAAAGAGGGTGAAAAGTAGCACACGTGTTACTCGAAACTATGTTCTACATATATCGGTGCCAAATTTCAATTAGATGTGTTAAACCGATGCGGAGTTATCGAATAAAATTGTAACAAATATCCATCCATACATAATAACATACAACCATTCGTATTTATAAGTAAGATTTTTCTTTACGAAAAATCTACATACATAGGTATAGTGGGTGTGAATTTAAAGTGGTACTTAGTAGGAGTTTAATACAACATAAATTTTCCTTAACTGGGACATTGAATCATTGTGTTTTCAATTAAGTAAAGTTCTGGTCTGGCCGAAAGGAGGGCACGTGGATGCGTGTGAATTTGTATCGGCTGCCTATACAATATACTGTAATATTATGCTGAAGTCTAGACGTGGGGGCGTACGGAAAAGGTGTAGGCAGCTAACGAAATAGGGTTGTCATACAAAGAAATTCTTATTTTTCTTAAACTTGCTTTTGGCTCGGCTATTATTAATATAATTTGGTCAATAAATGATTTTCCAGCACCTCGCTCGAAATAATATTGGCTTTTATTTTATTGCGCAATAATAAAGGTAATTAATGACAATAAAACTATATTAGATTTATGTAAAAAGGGATATTTAATGGACTTCCTTGTATTTTTAATTTAATACTTTTTGTTGAACGGGAAAAAGCACGCACAGTTGCGTCTTATCGTTTTAAAATTAAAAGACTACGCTTATACAAACTTATTGAAACGGGAAATTCAAATACTGCATTAATTAATTGCCGGATAAATCTACAAGTTTAAATCGGTCTTTCGCTGGAATGATTTTGATATTGCGTTTTCAATACATCTTATTAGTGTTCGACGTATTGGAAAACCTCTCTATTTACGAATGATTTAATCCGATGGGGTGTTTGTTGTAATGCGAAAATAGTTATGGAAAGCTGTAAAACTATATACCTATTTATATGTAAAAATGTGTACTGCAAATAGTATATAAATACTTACATTAATTGAAAATAGGATAGTATATAAGTAGAGTAAGCTCCTACGACTTATAATCCGACGGATGACCGCAAATTTCTTGCTAATTTTAGAACATTTTATTATTTTTATCGGTAAAAAAATCTTTGTTATTGTAAATTAAAAAATAAATGTATTTGTGTGTAACCCTATTGTGATTCAACGGCGCGAGACACCGGGAGCGGCGCAAATTTCCCGACCCCAACATTTCAGAGCCGCCGCCCGCCGCCGCCGCTCCTTTCATACAGAGAATTAGGTCATGCAGTAGGACACCTAACTACATTTATATAGGCCAGCTTTATACCAATAAGCACATTTTTCTCGTTCAACTGAACACGGTCGTAACTTGATTTCTATTTATTGTTTCTGTTTTGGTAAATTGTTTTGAGTAAAACATTGAAAAGAAGATAGAGTACTCTTACTTCGTTTAATAAATATATAATAAATAACTAAGCTATAAGTTTTAACATCTAATATTCAACATCAAAATCACAAAATTCAGATTGTTATTCCATTCATTTATACGTTATCCTCATTACATTTCTCGTAATGAAGTTTCAAATTGTATTAATTAATAATTTGCCAATTTTTACTATTGGCGAAGTCAAACACAAAATCATTGGTTTTGTTTAAGGACCCAGGTTTGACATCGTCTACCGACGTTTGAAAGATTCGAAATTAAAAGCCGTAAAGCTGAATACGAGGGAGACAGGAGTAAGGACGAGTTCCCTGTCGGCAGAAGTTCGTCTCAAAGTTGTACAAAGTTACTATTTTTTTCTTTTTAAACAACTAAAGAACTTGAAATAATAGTAAATTGTAAAGCTTAGAAAATTTAGTTAGTTTGAAATGATTTGAAGAAAAGAATCATTGGCATATGTATCCTTAGAATTTAGTAGACGAAAACTAACAATGATAAGTTAACATACGTCTTAATCTTATTAAATAAGAAATATAAGCCAAGTATACAGTAGATTATAGACAGGAATGTGATATAAATTAAATTAATAATAGCTGGTAATACCAACACTGACGAAACCTTGACATTTACTTCGTATATACTCCTCTTTTGTCATTTTAATTTAGTAATATTAGATATGTTTTTAAAAGTTTGTGTTGTTTTGTTTTTGTAATGTTCACTATCGTTGCTGTGTTATATTTTATTTCATTTAGATTGTTTTAATTATTACTTAAACAAGTGCAAACGCACCGTTAGGTCGTTAATTAAAAAAAAATATCTAAAGAGCCTTTGAAGAGGATTTTTTATTACTTTCATTTTTCTTCTTTAATACTTACTTCTTATTTAAATTAAAAAAAAATAGTAAAATAGTATCCATATTCACATTATGCAATTACACTTTAGAAACATTACAAACTTCAAAAACATATTATTGACTTCCACGCGAATAATGCATCGGCACATACGAGTATTAATCCGCGTACTCAATACTAAAAAGTCACACTGTTGTCGTGGATAAAGCTTGATCAATATTTTGCCTTGGTTACGTTTAAGAAAAGCTACTTTATGAATACAATTCCTTGGTATCTTCAATGTCAGTAGATGTTATTGAAATAATATGGATAATACCGGACAAGGTCAAGCTGCTGTGGGCGGCGGTCGCCGTGAACCCTCCATTGATCCCGTCAAAGCGCAAGGGATTCTGTAATGTATCAATAACTATGAATTATATTCGTTCTTCTGTTTCATGTTCGATATTAACTGACATGATTTATACTGCTTATGAGTTCCATAGCTTGAAGTGTCGCTTATTTTCTAGCTTTATATTGTACATTTTAAAAAGAACGATTAATACTTTAGAGTTATGAATTTTATAGAGTTTTTTCGATTGTTTTTAGAGAGTATACTCTAGAAAACACAAAGGAAATATTTATTTACTTTCTCATAATATTAATGGCAATAAACAATAAGTTAAAATGTGTTATTTTCTTGATTTCCCCAATACTATAATTATACGAATAATTCTATTATTGATTGTGAATTTAACATTTACGTGCATATTACTATCTTACAGGACATCAGTCAACAAAAAGACAAAAAATGCAGCCCGTTTGTGGAACAAACGATGGGGGTTTTACACTCAGATACGAGATATACAAGAAGAGGAAGCTCAAAAAATAGGTAAAATGTTAAACTTCTTATGAGTTCCATTCTAACTCCTCCCAGGTCAATTCCTATTTTTTTTAGATAAAACTCAGATCAGAATACTTTCAACTCTCGTCTGATTTCTGTGAGATTGTAACTGATGGACCTTATCCAATCACAGATTTTGAAACTGCAACCATATGATATCTATCTTTTGTTTGTGTCAGGCATGAGTGTAGAGGAGTACCGCGCTGCTCTGCGCTCATTGAGCTGCAAGCCTGTGGAGCAGCAACCGGTGCACATCGAGCCCAGTCCGACGGCGCTACCCCTTACATCCTCAGGTTAGTGCATATATGTGTGACGAAATTATGAGATAGGAGTGTTAATGTGTATTTATAGTCAAAAGCAATGAGCTGTTAGTATTAATTTTTCGGCTTTTTTATTAATACGTACATTACAGAAATTAATTACATTGTTCATAATGTTTTGAAATGCATAAATATATTTGCAACATTAATTAAAACAATAATGCAAAACAAGCAAAAGAAATATTAAGCGCCTAGTAAATTTGTATCTGCAATTCCTCAGGTATGTAGCAAGAACACTTTAATCCAAGATTAATGATCAACAAAACTAATAAATTAGCGGTGTTGAGCAACGCGACACTTAATACTCCCACTGACCACTTACACCCACGACCTCTACATAGAGACCCGGCTTAATCCATTTAAGTGTATGTACAAACAATTTATTTTGGGGCACTGTCAAGAAAGAGACAGGATAATATCATATTACTGATTAATAGTTCAAAGTTAATTGAATTTATATTTTTTGATTAATATTATTACGGTTACAAATCACGTACTTATCAAAAAGCTTTTCTTTAGTATGTTATCTACAATATTACTATTACAGGTGTAATAGGCCGCCGGGCGCTTTGTCCACTCGACTGCTACGGACCTTTAGTAAAAACTGGGCGCAATTACCCAACGAGACCGCCACTACCACCGGGACAGATCTACGATCCATATAAACAAACTATGATTTTCTTAGGGTAGGGTTTTCTCGTTACTAAAATTAACTAGGGTTACATTTCATTTTCGTGTACTCTAGAACTATTTGAGTCTAAAAGGCGCTTATCTTAGTGGTATGGTGGTGATTTCAGGGGAGGAATCGGCGACCCCATATCCTACAAGCTGCCAGTGGCTCGTTCTGAGGTCACCGATGAGATGTGGACACGACCCCAACAACTTACCGTCACGCAGTTTGATTTCTTATAATTTTCTTTTACTATGATTCTTATGAATTAATAATCATTGAAGAAAAAAAGAGAACACTTGTGATCTTTTACTTGTGCTAGTCGACATTAAAGGTCATTGAGTTGTTCCATCAATAATCTTAATCACACATAATGTGGAAAAAATTCACCAGATAGTGAAATCATTTGCTGCCCTCTAAGTTGAAAAGGTAATTTAAAATTTTTTGTATAATTTTTCTTTTTGGATTACATATTATAAAAAAGACACTATTGTACTTATTACTGTTTTATTTTTAAATATGCCATTTTTTTTATTAAGATAAAAAATAATTAACCCATATTGTGTCTCTTAGTAACAAACGCCGGTGGCAGTTGAGAAACTATGTTTTCTGGTAAAATTTCCAAGGTGACCGCTTCGTCGTCGCCGATCCAATGAAATCCAGCTAAATACTGCAAAAAAAATAATTTCGTAATAAGAAATTCAAAACATTTCTGTCACAAGTACGTAAAATAAAACAAGTAATATCAATTCTCACCTTTATAGGTATTATTTTAAGGTTCATACCATAGTTGTTTTTATTGAATTTCTTCTTTGCACTCGGTTCTTCGTTGGTATTCTGAAAACAATTATTAATACCGTTTAACCAGAAATAAGACAGTAAATGTTAAAGTGTTAGTTGCATAAGGGCAAGTTCATCTTAGCATATTTTTCACAACCCTTTAATATGGCTATTAAATAAAAAGTGAGATTAGTAGAGTGTGGTACATTATATATGAATCCAATATGGCCGCAACTACAAAATAACCATGTCACGTTTTGATCCCCATAATATAGGTATCGAATAATAGGATTTGACTTATAGCACAGCGTATTCAAGTATAATAAATCTAAGAATTTAAAAATGAATTGCTGAAAGTAGGAATTGACCTCATTTTTGAGTGGTTAATTTCTTAATGTTATTGAACTGTACACATTACCTTAGATTTCTTATTCATGATCCATAGCGAGGTTTCGTCCTGGAAGACGAGTGCGTCAGAGCCGGGGTGCACCGACACCGAGGAGACAGCGTTGCGGCGAGCGAGCCACTGCGCCGGCAGCGTCTCGTTTCCCCACTCACTTAACTTCTTGTTTGACAGATCGTATTCAATTAACTGCAATCACAATTTATTATTAATTTTGAAAATAAAAAATCGGTCGTCTTAAATGGTGCTTTAAGTGTTCTTAGTTGGCCGCAGAGCTCTCCGCATCTCTCTTTACAACACAAAACGTGCTTTTTATACCATTTTATCAATTGTCTTGATATCTTTATCAATTGTCAAAATGTCAAAAAGATATTTGAATGTTGAAATTCATTAAATTAATGCATATTTATGACTTTAATCATAATAAATTATGTGTAAAAATGACTGAACAATTTGTAACGAGAATCATACAATATGAATATTCTTTGATTTTACCTTTTGGTCTACGTAAGCAATAATAAGAGTTTCATGGTTTGTATCAACAGTGAGTGCGGCGGGCACGCAGCGGTACTTGGGCAGCGTCACGTGGTGCTCGAACTTCTTGTGACTGCGCGCCCACACCACCACCACACCATCAGTGTCCGCCATCACCAAATACGTATTATTCGATGGAGTTTTCTTTGACACGTGTAAATGTAACGCAGTTTTACTTTTTAAATCTGAAATAAGCTTGTAATGAAGAATACATACGGAGGTACAGTCAGGGAACTTCGCGGTATGCGAATAATGAAAATAAGCTTTTTACAGCCCAACTTTGCCTCTTTTTACAAAATAACTATTTAGGTAGCAGGGATTTTATAAAGTATACTGTCATTTTATTTTTACAATAAAATTGACATCAAGTAAGTCATATCAAGAAGAAAACATAATGAAATTCTATACTTACATTTATCAGTTGCTATTGTCTGTATAACAGTGGCACCGGCTTGTGCGTCAACATGCAGAGCTTTGATCTCTCCCCGAGTATGTACCAGCAACGTCTGCGAGTCCTCGCTGAACATCATACGGTCACACATTGATGACAATCCACTTATTAATACTTTCGTCAATGATATGTTACCTTCATCCTCCTGGTAAATATAATCAATTATCAAATATGAACATAGTAAATTTTTTATATCACAACATGGAAAACGAGCACCTGGAATCGCTGAAATAGCGATTTCAAGTGCTTCCACTTCACGCCTGTTTTCTGTGTGATCGTGGTATTTAACCGGGCGAGCCCGACCAATTCGTGTGAAGATGTTAAAGTGGGCTCTAACATATAAAAAGATATAGAACAAAGTCATCTACATAAATTGATAGTTTACAAAAATTGTTACTTACTGTATCCAATTTAAGCATTCGTACATCACTGTCAGTAGAATAAGCGACAAACTGGCCATCCGGTGACAGAGCACAACTCACTATCTGTTTGTTTTTCTTTGTTTTAACTGATATAAGCTTCAAAGGTTTATCAGTTATTTTTAACTTCTGTGTGCCTGACGATTTATTACCTTTCTTATAATCTAATATTACTGTGTCTTGCTCCAACTGTGTGTTGTCATTTTCTTTATCTACATTTTGCTGTGACTGTACATCAGCAATCATTACATTTCCATTTTCATTAGTTCCATATGCTCCTAATTTCCACACTTCTAAGTGATTAGAATACCTAAAAAATTTGCAAATAACCACCTGGTATCAAACAGTGTTTAAGTACACTATACATCAAACATTCTAGGGAAGAAGGCAACAAGTTATGGTCCTGAGTTGCTGTAGTTATGTTAAGGCACAAGTAGAGTTCTTCTGGAGATCCTGGAACTCTCTTCAGTTGCCTTAGAGGATGGCCACCGAGGGAGTTATAGTAATTCAAGTCTCACAAAACCCTCTTCTTCCCTCCAGCCCTGCCCAGAAGGCAGGGTATTTTTTGAAGATTTCCTCCCAATAAAAAATAAATTACACTATGTATAATACCATACATTTTTGACTTTAGTTTTACGTTTCAGCCATTTAAAGTATAAGGCTGGTTTAAATTCCGCGAATCTTATACTACAAAACAATACATACCTTAATAACAAAAGCTTGTTCTTTCCACAAACAGCTGATCTGACAGCAGGAATCATTGGTGGTATTCTCATAACCCATTTAGGTGGGTAGCTTGATAGTGTTAGATAGCCATCTGCTCCCACTGACACTAGCTTGTCTCCATTTAAAATTAACGCTCTAAAAAAATACAACAATATTATTGTATAGGTTATCTAGATTTCAAAAATTATTATCTATAATATATGATGTCCATAAATGTGTATTTTACCTCACTTGATGCTCATGAATATTCCTCTGTACATTCTTCACCCACTGGGCGCCAGTAATTTTACCCGAGCCTTTGCTGACTTTAACAAAATTCATAATCACAGGGTCGACTCCACTGCAGTATAAATTCTTTTCGTCATCAGACACAACTATTGATAGTATGTTTGATTTATGTGTGGTATATGTCTCTATCTGAAAGAAAATTTTTGAACTTTAAAAACCTTACTAATTAAAAAGGTTCAAAGATTTCTATTGCTATATAAGAAGAATGTGCTCTCATTATACTACATTCATCATATATTCAGAATACTATACACATCAAACATAAAGTATTGAATTAGCCGGGAATTTAGCAATAATAGGGTATGTGTTACAATTGTAAACATTGGCAATTTATATTCAATGTATGAAAGGATGAGTATATATGGATCTTCTATTTTATAGCCTTTTTATTTATTATAAATTACCTGATCACCAAGGACACTGTCCCAAAATGTCAGCCTGCCCTGACTGTCTCCAGACACAACAACATTATCTGAAAGCACCGCCAGGCACCACACAATCATCTCATTTCCACGTCTACTGACAGAAATGCGGCAAGTAGCATGGCCTGTCTCTACATTCCATACTCTTATTGTATTGATAGACCCTAAAATAATAAAATTTATCATAAATTTATAAATTTTCAGCGTTCAGTATAAAAATCCATATTTCAATTGACTGAGGTACACATTAACAATACAATAATGAAGCTCAATACAAAATTACCTGTTACCAAAACCTTTCCTGTTTTATCAAATTTACAGCACATAATTCTACCTTCTTGCTTATCAAATAACTTTTTATATACAATGTCATCATATTCAACATTGTATAGGTTAATATAACCTTGCTCTGTACCCACGGCTACTAAAGTATTGTTAGGATCGACGTCAAGGCACCATGCAGCATACCCTGTCAGTATCACCGTGTTTTTAATACTCAAAGTATTGACATCCCATTCCAGCAAAGCTCCACCAAGCCCAGTTGATAACAATCTATCTTTAACCCATCCCAGTGCTTCCACTGACGCGTTTTCAGCACCGGGTATAAGTTTAATTAAATGAGGGGCGTAGTTTAAATCCCAAATCTCTATAGAGGCGTCAGACCTGTAAGAAGTAAAAATAATAACTTACACTGCCAACGCTTTTTCAAGTTAAATGTTAAGATAACAACAAACCTTGCTACTGCAAGTGTTTTATTAGTTTTACTAAAAGCGACACAATTTATTGGTTCCGGTTTTGGATTATAGTAACGAACTCTATGTAGTTTACATGCCATTTTTTAAGTTCTCATATACTCTAAATACGTATTTTTTAACCGTTTCAGTTACACATGGCAGTTAAGTAAATAATTATTGTTTCATTCAAATTATTTGACAGAGCAGAGCACATTACGACATGTGTCACAACTGTCAATTGCCATGTGCTTTTTGTTTACAAGGGCTGTCACGGCCAACTCAATGGTCCACTGGGACCAACAATGAAAAAATTCGCAAAAGTCTTATTTATTTTATTACTTGTATTTATGATAATTACCATTATGATAACAGGGGAAAATTGCATTATGTATGTTTTTGCTAAAAATAAATGGTGTCGTATACTTTGAAGTCACTCTATTAAAAAGAGCCATTTCTTATCTTAACTTGTCTATGAAAACCACAAGCAAGTCAATTTGATGTTTTTATTTTTTTGTACATAATCGAAGTAAACTGGTATGACAAAATCGTCAAAAGAATTCCTTGTTCACGTAAAGATATTTACATATTGAGTTATTGAAATTTTCGTATTTTACGATGGGGGACGGACAAAGCGAAAATCAACCGCTTTTAAGGGATGGTAAGCATTTTTAGTATTTTTGACAACTGATGATTCAACTATTTTCTAGTATTTTTATTGTTAAACAATGCCTACTAAATAATAATGAAAGATTGTATAGCTTGGTTGAACGTTTTGTTGTGCAACGACGAGTTCGATTGTTACGTTTTGAAGTTTAATTACGTATATATACCACGTAATTTTTATTTTACCCAACAGAGGAAGTCAATGTTAGCACAATCTCTCCCATCGGACCGGATGAACTTCCACCACCGTACCAGCAGGCAGGAATGCCTATGGTGACTTGCCGCGTATGCCAGTCTATGATAGATATCTCGGGAAAAAGGGAACAGCATGTTGTAAAATGTTCTGTGTGTCATGAAGCTACGGTAAGAGTTGATTAGCATAATCATATTTGGTCACATATATTGCCTAATTGTCTAATATGATATAACCTGGCATGACATAACAACTGTATCAAATGCCAATTTATCATAATTTGTTGTTTTAATAACAATGTAACAAGTGTTACTATGTTAACAAACTTGAACAGGACTTGAAAATATGTGGGAAAAGCACTAATAAATGTATATAATGGATTTACAATGTGGAGGACAAAGCGGGAACATTTTGTAATTTTTAGTAATCACAACTAATAAATGTATCAATTTTGCAGACATTCTTAGTTCTCCTGATTTGGTAGTACTAATTTTTATTAAGCAAATTTTATAGATAATCATATATAAATTTCTATCCAATAACGAAAAGTATTTTTATTATTTACAATAGTAAGTTGTGTAATTGATATGTTGAAAAAGTAAAGTGTATTTTACAATGTCTTAGTATGAAAGTGTAGCTCTGTATACTATTATGAGTCATAGAGTTATCTGCTAATCAACTTTGTTGTGTGTATAAAATGTATATTCAAAGTTGGTCTTAGTTAGAATAAAACTTTATTGTAAACTAAAAAATCAACTTATTAAGTAGACAAAGTTAGTCTTTATCATCTTAAACACATATGTTAACTAAACATTGCTTAAAGCATTTTCTTTTAAAATTGCTTACATTATTTCATTTAAATGCAATAAATAATTTAAATATTAACATTAGAGTACATGGTCCTCATATTTATCCATTTCCTTACTTATGTATCAATAAATTATTTTAGCCAATAAGGAACGCCCCGCCGGGTAAGAAGTATGTGCGTTGTCCTTGCAACTGCCTGTTGATTTGCAAGTCGTCATCGCAGCGTATTGCTTGCCCTCGACCTGATTGCAAGAGGATCATCAACCTTGCTCCATCACCGGTCACCCCACCAGTGTCAACATTGCCTGGCATGTGCAGAGTCATTTGTGTACATTGCCAGGATACATTTTTGGTAAGTGTATTTAAACTAAACAAGATAAAATTATCAATAATATGGAACCTCCTTTGGTATGGATGTATTTTGTCCATTTTATAGAAACCAGATCTCATTTTTCTTTGTATTCCTTTCTAGAATGTTGTACAGCGATGATTGTTGCGTTTTAAATTATAAATAAAATCATGAAAAATTTATGGTATTTGATATTATTGAAAATTTTCTGAATTATTAAATTGCCTTCAAAATGTTGTTCTATGGATAGATAAAAAGGATAAACCTTTTTAAATTCTGTTAATAATACAATTAACACAAAAATGTCAATACTTTTGTTTTTCAAACTTGATAGAAGTAATTTAGGCTATAATTTATGTATTCTTGTTTTACTTTATTTCAAATATGAAATGATTGCTGCTGTGTTTACCAAGTAGCTTAAACTGTTTTTATTACATTTAGAATGAAGCTAATTCAAGTCGCTAGTTGCCAGTACATACATTTAACATATTGAAACATATTTTCAGTATCAACGTCTGAGAAACGCACCGGCGCGATGCCCTCACTGCCGCAAGGTTTCATCTGTGGGGTCGCGTATGGCTCTGCGGGGCACCATCTTCGCAGTCCTCGCCTTCATATTCTTCGCTATCGCTCTCGGAGTAACCCTGGGCACATACAATTCAGCCAAGGTTCATGGTGGAGGCATCTACGTGGCTTACGTTGGAGCTTTCCTGATTGCATTCTTCTTGGCCACACGGGCCATCTACTATTTTGCAATGAAAGTAAGTACCATCGATGACCCAATGTAAAAAAAATTACCTGCATCTGATTTTGTGATAGTATGATTAGGAAATGATAAAATTATCTCAATTCCATATTGCGTTGTATAACACATTGTAAATTTAAGATTCAAATAACTACCAACTCTAACCTTTTATGAAGAACTATGTACACTTTATTTATGGTCAACAATGATTGAAGATTGAAATGAATCTGTTCAATCTTACATTCATTATGACCTCATGACATGTATTGCTAAGTTTTATAAAAATATAGTTATCAAATATTGATGTTTATAACTTAATGGATATGTTTAAAATTTTTATTTGTCATAATATCAAGTAATTTAATGTCATACTTGTTGTTTCGATTCGTTAAATTGTTTATTCCATTTCATTGCTTTTATATAGATTTGCTTGAATAGATGATAATTATCATATAGTAAATATTTTATTTGGGAGAAAGAGATAATTGATTTCTAATAGACTGATGCGTGAATCCACTTGCAGTGTTACCTGCTACCATTATTTATTTATATATCAATTTATTTTATGTTCATATCATATGAATTTATAAATTACGGATTTATTTTGCATAGATAAGGTTGTCAGTATGTATAAATCAAGTTTTTTTTTTTTCAAATCCGCGCAAGGTATTTTTCATTTAAACTATTAAATCATTTTATTCACTTTTGTTTAGAAACAATAAACTGGAGTTAAATTGAGTTAAACAGTAAACATAATAAGAATTGAAAAATTATTGAGATTATTGTGGTCAGTCTTTTGTTTTTCCAGACAAAAGGAAAATTAATTTTAGTCGATTAGTGTGATATTTCTGTTAAAGCTGGATACTTGACCTTTCTATTTTATTTTCTTTTTAATATGTAATTTTTAAAATAAATTAATTTCTCGATTTTGTAGCGAGTATAGAAAAACCAAGGAATTCATTATTGTTTATATTAATCTGTAACCAATTATTAACAATACAGATTAAATATTGATTTTGGATTTATATGTTGCTTTGCTAAACGATTTCAATCTGTAAATGTCAAAATAAACGACATTTTTACCGAATTTTTGAGGTTAGATATGTGATGTTAACGATGTCGTCTCGCGATGTACCATGACGATTGACTAGCCTATTCCAATGTTTATTCCATCTTGACAATAATAAATAATAATAATTAGCTGACAAGAAACCTTTAATATATCTTTTTATCTTTGTTTGACCTGAAGTAGGTAATAAGTAGAAGCGCAAGGGTTACAAACTAACTTGAGGCTTTTTCATTCTCTCTCTGCTTTCAAAATAAGTTACAGTTGCAAACAATTAGTGTTACTTTTTTAAACTTTCATACATATTGAATTGGCCAACTTCTTAGTGCCATCTGTCAATATTTGTACACACCATTGTAAAAAAAACAACTTGCGACCTTGTAATATTACAAACCTTTTTTATTTTACGTCTTCAAATCGAAAAGGTGACCTCAATCTAAAACTCGTTTTTTATTAATTGAATAGAGTATCCACTAAATCGAGAACGCGTAGGTATTAGATGTGTATTTTTAAATTATTTAAATAAAAGAAAAAAATATATCGTTTGATTATTATTAGTAATAATGACGGCTAGGCAACAGATTTATATTTATATTATTAAGTACGTATATATTAATTTGTATTATCAAAATGTTGATTGGAGTTTTATTTGTTAGTATGAAGTACCTGTATCATTGTGTGCTTAGCCATATTACTCATACTTCTAAATTTTAATTTTGTATTTTTCTCAATACGATTATAATTTCCATTATTTTTATATTATTTCTAGTTGATATTTTTTGATATGATTTGGAAACTTTTGTACGCATGTGTGCTTAAAATATACGATTTTGACCAATGATAAAATTTTATATATTTAAACACGTGTTTGATCAGTTTTTGGAATTTATAATCAAACTTGTTAAAGTTTCTGGTCAAGGTTGCGAAGTGAGTGTGATTATGTTATTGTAGAATAATTAACCTATAGGCATAAACTACATAAAGAGTTTCGACGTTTAGAAATTTATATTCAAAGTATATTAGTAGTGAACATATTATTATTATGTTTTATTGTCAATATGCATACTTTCATACATGTTACGGCTTTACATATATTACTGTAGTTTTAAGTCAAATAAATGGTACCTATGAAATGTGTTCATTTTATTTTTAATGTTGCTCACATACCTTATGAACCTATTTTAAAAACATTAAGTAAGACTTTTCCATCCATTTTCCATTTAAAATATACAGAAGAATTAAAAACCTTTACGTTTTTGAAGTCGGTTTAAAATAATAGAAAATTCCAATAATAAAGTTTATTTCAAAGTTCATTAAATTCTATTTAATATATTAAAAAATACTAAAATACACTTATGTGAAATCGAAGAGATGAAAAAACATTTCTTGTGGCTAGACTTTCAGTTGTTCAACTTTTCACAAAACATAACGTTAAAAAAATTAGGCTCTATCGACAGATTAACAAAACTTGGATGCATTTAATAAGAATTTTTGTTACTTATTGATTAAATACTAACATTTTCACGACTAGATAAAACCACGTGTTAAAAAAATAAATTTTCAGGATTTCAATAAAAAAATACTACGTAATATATTTTATTTTTAAAATTAGAGATTTAAGGAATGTTAACATGCCTTACTGATTTAATAAAATTTTGAGGATAATTCAAATTAATTTCATACATACTTTCCTCAATTATTTTCATCATTACGACCCGTTAATAGCTGTCTGTAGGACGACAACATTGGTCGACAAATAAATGCCTTTTCGTTTATAATAGCAATTAATTATTTCAGTTTTTTATATATTAAATAAATAAAAGGCACATATTACGCTGACTTAAAATACCATATATGGGACAAAAAAATAATAATTCGACAGCTTCATTTGATTTGGTTTTAAATTTTCAATATACATTAAATTCTCACTGTTTACTTAAATTTTACAAAGTGCACCCTGTCGTGTATTTTCATTTTCAAAAAGATGTAAACGGCGTCAATGTTATTGAAAATAATAACCGAGAATACACGGAACGATTTGCACATATGTTTTTGTGCACAAATATAATATATCCGAATTATTTAATAATAACAATAGATTGGGATTACATATAACGTAATTCTAAGGCCATGAATATTAAACATATTAGTGTGACTTATCATAGGTGTCTTTGTGTTGGTACCCGGTGACGTATCCCGATGCGTCGACGAGTTCCTTGCGGCCGGCAATGCCCTTGCCCTTGCCGGTGGTGTCAAAGCGCTGCTTGTGGGAGCCGGTGTACTTGCTAGTGTCCGTCAGTCTATCTACAGCGGCGGCGGCCGCGGGGGATTTTGGTAACTGAAAATTAAACGAAGTATATAATAATACAAAGGTAACGAGCAATGTAGGTTTGCTATTCATTCCATAATACAAACCATCTTGATGCCTGAAATTCTACAACTCTATTACAATTTGAGTTAAGTTGTTATTGAGTAAATCTTACATGAGTTGTAATCCCAGGTTGTCCGCACGTTGTAAGTTTTCTTTTGATTTCTTCCAGTTCCACCTTTTTGCTCTTGGCCAAGTCCTCAAGGAATTTCTGATAATCATCAACACCGACTTTCAATATCTTAAGTTTCTTGAAGTGAATTGCAGTATCGGTGGTTGTGATCTTCTTTCCGTCGATCACCTTCGCTTGCTTCATCCATTTATCGCTTTGGGATAATGTAATCAATTTGCCGTCAGACTTTGGATCGCCGAATTTTGAAAATAATTTGAAAGCCTCCTGGAAGAACAGATATATTTATTAATATTCTCTAATTAATTGGAAAAGCAAAGCCACTAATAATAATTATTATCGCTCACGCAAAGTATTCGGGGTCTATAAGTTGTTGCGTGTCAATAAACTTTACCAAAACATCAGAAATCACCTTAAACGTAGTTTAATTATACCTCAGTAGTTTAATTTTTCGCTTAGTATGATAAATAAATTAAAAATATATATTTTAGGGATGCACTGAGTCATTCTGTTTATGAAGGCATTATTTGAGAAGTTTACATCGCCCTTTAGCGTTCCTGGTACGGTCGCGTGTCTACAGTAAATAGCGTTGGATCTGATAAATACGAACTGGTGTAAATACTGTGATTGCTACCACTTCTAATTTGAATATTTTAGTTAGTTACACTTCGACCCTAGCAATTTGTACTGGTTTCATAATTCTGATTTCGCAAATAAAACAATCTAATTTTCGAAGCAGATATCACACCGAAGTAACAATTATTTCAAACGAGTTTGTATCGCAGATATAAAAGAGATATACTTAAAGGATCAGCAAAGATAACTAACTTTAAAGGGTATAGCATTGTCGTCGTTCTTGGCGGGCGTTCCGTTGGTCGCGCCCGCTGGCCCCGCGTCGCCCCCTGCCCCCGCCGCTCCGCCGTTCTCCAGCTTGACGTCCTTCACGTCCTGCGTCACTTGCTCCACCGCGTCCCGTGTCTGCGACTCTTCCGACATCACAACAGCTGGAAATAATACATAGATTATGGTTATGTTTATATTTGTAACAACTGTGATTCAATGACTGCGACATCAACGTAATACACAGATAAACCATAAGGGTTTTAAGACTGTAGCTGACGCATTACCATCAATATCTTTTTCGTTTACCAATTACCCGGCTAAAATAGTTTGCACTATTCTATTATTTTCAAGAAGTTACTGTTTTTATTTAATTAAAAATCGTAAGATACAGCTTTTTAAATTTCAAACAATAAAACTTTTTAATACGTTCTATCCATTAATGCATTCAATGTTGTATCAAAGGAATTGAGGAAAGAACATAGATAACTCAATGGCAAACAATCTAAGCGATCGTGGATGATGTCATGCAAAAATACACAAAACATTGTTGTGTGTCGTAGAGTTATCGAAGACTTTAATAGCGGTTTACGTCGCGCTAAACTAGGCAATTACATCATCGACCTTGCGGAAGCGATTCGCACGGACATCGAAAACATCAGCTGATTCTTAAAACTATCATAGATTTTTAACTATTGTAGACAAAGTCGACGCTATAAATAACAATATGAAACGTTTAGAATTTTAGACCCACTACTATGGCAATTTCTGAAACAATATAATTAAGTAGGCATAACGTTAATGATAATAAATTTCATGTATGTTTCATAAAACTTAATAAAAATGTCTAATAGAAAGTCTATTAAGTTTTTTTATTTTTATATGATACAAAAAAATGTAAATGCTCGAAACTTGTCGCTCACAGCTACAAGCATCAAAATATCAAATCTTAACGAGTTAACTGTGTCTTGTTTGGCATAGGTTAGTACACAAACAAGAATGATTGCCTAAACAATACCAATAAGACTTCACTATAAAATTCAAAATTTAATGTTTCCTTCTGAATAAACTAAACACTATCGTTATCAATGGGGTATATAACTGGCATAAGTCTCAACATAACAATGGGTAATTTATACCAACTTTTTTTAAGATTGTGTGCATGCTAATACAATGTGTATCTCTTCGTCTTTATCTCTATTTTAAAACATACTAATATATACGTTCGTATTTATATGTTAGCTAATATTTATGCTCAAATAACTCCGCTATTACGAAGCCTTTGCGAGGTTTACATTACCTAGTAAACTTAAGCAAGAATGACACATGAACACTGTTGCTTGTAATATTAGAACTCGAGAAGATATAATGCAAGTATAGTGTATTTAACTTTAGTCATACTGCATATGATACTCGTTTTATTTGTTACAAAATCGCACTTCTTATCCAATACACAGTTATTCTATTTAAAGGCTAAACCCAGAAAAATTATACTGCAAAAGTGTCTGTATGACGTTACCCAGTCCGCCCTACGGTTTTTTCGACCAGATTGGTCACATATGAGAGGGCGCTATTAAAACTACTCGTACAACTCGCAGTACTTGTTTAAAGTTGAACAAGAGGGAAAAATGTGCAAGGGCTATGGACCCCAAAGATTTATATTTTAAACGCTTAGAAATATTAACCATCTTGTACTGTAGATACTATATACGCAGTAATATGTTGTACTTGTTATTTGAATTGGGTTTTTTTTTGCTATAAACGATATCTACAAATGAGTGTTATCAATATTCATTAATATTTTAATAATGAAGTCACAGACTAAAATAAAACACTAAAAAATAACGTTTTGGTATCAATACCGATTCGGTCATTGTGACCTTGTGTTCTGACATAATCTTCATAACAATGCAGATATAAATGTGTAAAAATAAAACTGTAAATGTAAGTAGGAAGGGGGCGTAAACAATTACACCTCCGCGGTAACTGTAGGTGCCTGGTGCTAGTCTAGACTAAACGAACAGACCTACGTGTGAAGGTCGCAATGATATACTACATACGCCACTACCGGGCTAAATTCAGATTGTACTCAATGAGTTATGCATTTAGAAATGAGCATCCAGCATATGCGTATTTATAGTCTTATGCTACTGTTTACTGTTGGAATGCTTGACACAGATTTAGCACCAATTTTGAGACGTGTGTTTTAAATTAATACAGTATAGTTTAATAGTAGAAAAAAATAATTCTCGGTCTTTAATTTATCATCGATAGTCCAATGCTTGAATCCTAAAATCTATTACAATAGTTTAACTTTACAAAGATAGATAAGTTAAACGATGCAAAAAGTCGCATTGCGTCGTTTATTATGTATGTCTTACTAACATATCAAAGCTTATAGAATATAGGTATGTATTTGTTTGCCAAGGTTATAAATCATAAAGGATTATAGCTTTTTGTATTGATTGAGCTATCCATTTAATGAAAATTTCGGCAAACTTTTTAAACAAATGCTGTGCTTCCTTTGAAGCTTTTATTACAATAAAAAGAAAATTAACAATGAAATTTAAAATGTGACAAACTATCGATGAATGTGTTATATCTTAACTTTCATAGTTATTGAATTAATATGTCGAAATATTGGTAAGAAGAATAAAAATCGCGATACACACTGCAATTTAAGGACATTTTCAGGAAACCTGGCAAATAAAAATTTTAGGTACCTGTTAAACTACGTTAACGTTTAACAAACGTCGTAATAATTAGTCACGTTTTTATCGAATATTGCAAGGGCTCGTGTCATGGATATTACGGTAACACCTTAATTGACCTAGTTTACCGACCGTGTTTAATTATAGGACATTGTTTGAATTAACATAGTATTTTTTCGTACAATTAAAAAAAAATAAGTCTTTTGTTAAAGTTTGGCGACTTAAAATATTTTTAATAGCAACATAATATTTTAATATAAAATTAGCAACATCTTTTACAATAACTTATGAATTTCATTTATAATGGATAATTTTTATTAAAACATTTGGTTTAGTACACATAAATAAATATCACACGGATTTTAAATCATTCATGATTTGCATACAACTTCATCAAACTTGTAATTGCAGTAAGCTAAATGTTAGTCAATTTTAGTAAAATAATTAAATTAATTATAAAAGGCCGTAGATAATTTCCCAAGAGAGCTGACATCGGTCTTTTCAAATATAATGGTGTTAATATTTTATGCCTTCTTGAAGCAAGGTTGGTGATGTTATCACGAACGTGTATGACGCACACAACTAATTACTAACACAAACTCTTAATGCATTCATCGTTCAGTCTTCGTTATTAAAGTAATGTATAATAGACGAGGTAAGAAATCAGTTAACAGCAAAAATATGGCCGTAGAAAATTACAGGTAACATCAGTCATCCACTACCTAAGTTATTTAAGTACATAGTTTATATTTTAGACGCATGAACATGACTCATACCTAAGAATAGGCTTTGATGATTTAATACGCAAATATCATCTTTCAACCCTTTATAGTAGTGGTTAATTCATTCATAAAATTCAATCGCGTACACTGAAAATAAATCCAATAGGAATACGCAAAGGATGAAAAATATTTATTTAACATTTTGTAAAAATCAGATATTATTTTGCGTTATTGACGATAGATAGTGCATGAAGTAAATCCGCGTGAAATCCATGAATCTTTCGCATATTTAATTAATTTGGTAAAACTGACAACTGGAAAACAGAATTTCTACCGTGTGTAGGAAGTGTAGAATAATATTATAATCTCAGTTATTAAGAAAATATTCATCAATAAGGAATAGAATTTTTTCCCTTAATTACGATGCCGGGTCACGCACGCGCCAAAAACGAATATGGAACAATAGCTAAGACATACTACGATGGCTGTGATGTATAGATTCTAAATGTCTTACATGTAAATAAATTCGATATTGTTTATTATTTATGTTAAAAAACATAGAGCATGCTAAGATAGAGCTTTTAATTTACGTTTATTTTTATTTGAATTGTATTAAAAAAATTAACATTAGACATTTTTCAAGTTAGATAAACTTTGAATAATTTCAGTTAAAACTGGTTTTCTAAGCAGAGATAGCACAACAGAGTAAAGTAGGTAGAACAACTGAGGAGTCATCCTTTGATAACCAAACTAGAAACTACACGGCCTTGATAATTAAACAAATAAACCAAATTACGTATAAACTTTGCAAAATGACGATTGAAAGATGCATGTAAGTTTAAAAAATGGAATTTACTTTTCAAAGACAAAATTAAATTTTTGATTTATAGATTTAGACCTACTACTAACTTTAGTACTAAATATATTTTAGATTATAGAACTAAAAATATGATATCTAAAATTATCAAACGACAGGAAATCTGAAAGTGAAAACGTGTGAAAAGTTTACAGTGCTAACGACCTTGTGAGTTTCTACGTCGCAAATAAACAGTGCAAATTTCGCATAGGTTTTCCCATTGCTACTCTTAGGCTTTTCATTCCATTGAGACTTACTTTTCAAATCGTAATAAAAATTATTAAAACTGGTTAGCAAAAAATTGTTTTATGTTCCTTACGTTATTTTATTATAGCGTCTTCACCGTAAAACATAGAAAATACAACAAGATTTTTAATAATTCTTACGTTATCCTTGAGCAACATAAAGTTTTAATGATAGTAATATGAAATATTAAAATTTATTAAGGCGATCCTGGGCAAATTTCGCCTCCAATTTGTAGGAAAAGTTAGTAGGCTTCGTTTATCAATTCGTTTCAGATTTCGATTTAACCTACATATACGTGCTTAAGTTTTCTACATTTTGAATCGAATGTGTTGTCGAATAAAATTCATCACAAAAATCTACAACCGATGTACTTTATACGTTAAATTACGAGTGTTTTTCATTAATTAAAAACAAGTGTAATTCGATAACTTTAGTGAGGCATCAGTAATGAAGGTCGATGCAGTTACGCGTCACTGAATTTATATCTTATCATAAAATTGCATGAATTTATTCATCCAATACTTAAGGTTTTTGATAAAAATTATCTTATCTATAGGAAATTGTATGTTCAACTTTGTTTTACACCTTGCAATACAAACTTTTGAATGTTATGCGTTACATACGGACAAGATGATTTATGTTTATGAACAGTAAACTCTATATATGTATATTGAATATTAAATGCTCACTGCATTAGATGTGGCCGTGTGTAATCATAGGGTGCCCGCCATAACGAGTGGCGCCTAAAATATTTCACCCTCCTCGTAATTTTTCTCATCCTAAATATAGCTGGATGCAATTAGCGTTCAGTTCATATACATATTTATAAAACCTACAATGTACTCTAGCAGATAAAATAAAATCAATCGTAAATTACGGAAATGTTTGGTTCCATTTCGGTAAATTAAATTATCAATTTCTGTATTTAATTACATTAAATTAAACTATATCTTATCTATCGTTAATAATAAATAAAAATAATATACATTTAATTTAAAACTTACATTAATATATCGCGAAGCTGAGAAAAATCACATAGACTATAGTGAACACACGACCGACTTCCGTCCCAGCCCTCCTATACTACGTATTTACGTACAACCGATGTTTGTCCGTCTGCCGAGCGCCCCAGAGCGCCCAGTGCCGACAAGGCGGGACGGATTGAGCGACGCACGGCGCATGCGTGATTACGACCTACGCTTCTCTATCGCCATTTTTTTCTCCATGTCCTCACCTCAATCCAAGTACATCCCATGAATGCTTTGCTCAGCAAATGCCCTACTTTTATCTTTTATGAAGACATCACGGCGTCATCCGATGCTTACAGCTATATGACTTATAGCTACATACCCTATTCACATAGTCGGGGTTCGTAAGTGGTTATTTTAAAGTGAAAGAAGTTTATCCTGTTAAAAGTACCTAGATGAAATTAAAAAAGAGCTTAAATGCAATTTTTATAGTTAATTTCAATAATTTAACCACAGAAAGGATAATTAGCAACAACTAAGAATCGAATCTAGGGCCTAAGGCGCAACTAATATAATTGTTATGGTTGAGATTACTTTTAATGTAGAGCATTGGTATCTAGTAAAAAGCAATAAAATGAAGTGGTCAGAGGCGAGCCTACTCTACTATAATAAACTTTAGAAGAGGTAAAATGCTATATAATTTTTGCAGGCGCCCGGTAGTTTATTTTGACAAGCCCTTATTATATTCTTATTCCTATGACCTTTTTAGCTATCGTTGTAAGCTTTTTTATTTATAGTATATTTTATAATTAAACGTAGTGAATGCCGCTTACGCTTTCAAAAATTTTCAGATTGAATGATTTAAACGAGTAACATTAGTCACATAACATTAAGTAAGCCTTTTTACATTTTGCGAAAAAAAAAAGATTTTAATGACATTGATCAAACATCTATATATTAAACAAACTATAACGCATAATAGAAGAGCCACATCACAGCAAAAATAAACATGATAAAATACATAAACAACTTAAAAAAGATATGTGTAAAAACTGGATACCTAATATATATCACAATTCGTTGGTAATTGCTCTATTTAATTCTAAAGTACGTATTGTTTAAAAAAGAACAGTACATACAATGATCTAGAATCTCTTTAAATACATTTGTACTAGGACTCAACTATTTCTAATAAATCTCCCAGCTTTGGTAGGACTACATCGGGCAATGGTGCTATTTGCTCTTTACGAATTTTCTCCAATTCCCTTGTTGAAGTTACACCAGTTAACACAAGGAGTGTTTGGAAGCCACAACGAACACCAAATTCAATATCGGTATTACATCTGAAACAAATGTTATAATATAATTTTTTTTTGGCAGATACAGTGCTAAATGTTTGATTGGTCTGACTTACGTGGAAAATATATATATATATCTCTTCTTAAAACGTAATAAGTAGCCCATGTGTTATTCAAGACTATGTTCTACATCTATGCCAAATTTCAACAAGATCCATGTAGTTCTGGAGATACCAACAAACAAACATCCACTCATCCAAACATTCGCATTTATAGTATTAGTAACATTAGTTAGTTCTAGTTGTGTTATTAATTTCTTTTCTTTCCTCAACTTTTTAAAGATGGTTTTATGAAATAATGTTTTACCTGTCCCCAATCATCAAAGTCCTCGCTGGATTCAATCCGCAGGACTCCAGATATTTCCTAATATATTCATGCGGTTTACCAAGCACCAATGCTTTCCTCTCTGAACAAGTTTCAACCGCTCTTACCAAGGTTCCTGATCCAGGAACAACTATTGAACTGGATTTGGGAAAACGTTCATCGGTATTTGTGGCCACAAACAAGCAATTTTCAGAGGCCAGGTATGAGGCGGCCTTCATGAACTTTGGGTAGCTGACATGTTCATCAAATCCCACTACGACAGCACCAACTTCTGAATCAAGATCAGTGGGTTTCAGTGACTTGAAATCAGGTTTGACATGATCAGGCTGAAAATATATACATTTATATAATCAGACTTGGATTTACTTCACTTTTTTGTTAAGAAACTCTATGATAAGTATTTTTAATTAAAATAATGCATTCTATTACTTTAATATCGACTTACACCAACTCCAACATGTTTTATGCCCACAGCATTCAACTCATCTCCAATCCCATTTGATCCAATCAAGTACACTTTCTTCTTAAACCCAATACTTTTGAGGTAGTGCGCAACCAAGTAAGATGTAGACAGAATTTCATTCTGAAATAACAAAGTAAAATATTTGGACTACATATCTAACTTTTGAAAATTACATTACAATTCTAATAATATAGTTTAAAATAAGTAGTTATAATATTGTTTATATTAAAATACCTCATCTGCAATAAAACCCAATTGTTGGGCTTTAAGTGCAAAGTCGCTACGAATCTTCGTAGAATTATTGGTTACGAAAAACACTCGTTTACCAATCTTACGAAAGTAATTCATGGTATCTGCAGATCCAGGAATAGCGTTATTGTCGATCCATAAGACACCTGAAAAGCGATTAAGTTCAAATACAAATTTATTATACTTGTAACTTCAGGTTTGTCTGATTCTTAATTGCTATAAATTCTTACCATCACAATCACTTAGGACAGTGTCAAAGGAATTGAGGAACTCCTCAACTTGTTCTTTTTCTGCATGTTTTAAATCAAATACTGCGGACTTGAACATTGTAGTTGAAATGTTAATACTTCGATATGATACTGATGCTGTAACTTTTAAAAGAGAAGGTAGACTATTATAAAAAAATCTTCTTCCTATTAGTTTAGTTAGCACTCCACTCATTACTAAACTAAAATATTTTTTGTGCAACCTAACTTTTATTTATAAAACAATTTCTCTTTCTCCATTTACCTTCCACGAAAAATTTAATTTTGATATAATTTAGTCACATTCTGTCACCTTCAACTTCAATGTCATGATTGTCAAATTGTGATGTCAAAGTCACTTAGTCTATGTTTATGACCAAAGTCTTACAGTATCTTACGTTTACATCCAATTTACATCTGTGTATTTGTCTCTTTGATGACAGGCCAGCCTGACTAGCCTTCTGAGCTGGATTGGTGTGGACGGGGCATAAGTGTGAGTGTCAAATGCACAACACTATAACTGATAACTGTTATCATAATTGTTGTTTACCTTTTGCATTCATTTGCTAGGTCACCAATATTTTACAATTCATATGTTGCATTAGATATTGTACACTTAATTCCCCTAGGTAAGTTTAATTTTGTAATTCTTTTAAAGTTTTCAGCTAAGCTAATAATTTACTTATAACCAAACATGCAACTATAGGTAACAGTAAGAAGAACTGTGCTGTTTGTCACTTGTTTCAATTTTGTTCTTGTGGCAACCAATTTTAGCTACATAAGTGTTTGTATTTAAGTCTTATTTTTGCAACGCAACATCTGTTACTATATGGCACTTTGTAATCTTGTTTAGATTATTGATGTACTTCCGTGCTTCACATACATTTAAAAACTACTTCTTTACTCTAATTTTATTAAATTGTTACAGACATTTCGATTAATGTCTACGTGTTCTTAGAAATACCGGGCTAAAAATGGATGATAGTAATACTATAATAGAAACAAATAAAGACACAATTAAAGTGATAAGGTTTAACAAACCACACAAGAAAAATGCAATAGATGGTAATATGTACAATCGGGTGACTAAAATACTCAACGAAGCTGCAATTGATGACAGTGTCAGTATGGTTGTGGTAACTGGTACTGCAGACTTTTACAGCAGTGGCAATGACGTATCGAACTCTTGGAATGAATCTGAAGATGAACATATGAAAGTTTTGAGAGATTTCATCGAAGCGTTTATTACATTCCCAAAGCTACTAATAGCTATCGTAAATGGGCCTGCTATAGGAATCGCGGCTACGACTCTTGCCCTCTGCGATTTGGTTTATGCGTCAGAAAATGTAAGTTATTTTTACATAGAAACGCCAAGAAAACCGTATGATAATTACACGCAGCTAGATATTAAAACGAATTTTTTTGCAGGCTTATTTTTACACACCCTTTCCAAAATTGCATATCACAGCTGAAGGAGGATCTACACTAACATTCCCGAGACTTATCGGACAACGGAAGGTAATATTTTATTCAGTAGAGTTTAATTTTCACAACTATACTTGATTAAGTTACTTACAGAAACTGTAGATTCGATTATTTATCTCTGCCAATGCCTCTGCCATTTTGTTGTTATATTTCAGGCTGCAGAAATGTTACTTTTTAATCACAAAATGACAGCGAAGGAAGCACTGGAGTACGGTTTTATAAATCGTATGTACAAACCCGAAGAATTAGAAACGAAAGCCTGGGACAAGATAAATGAGATTTCAAAACTACCCGCAGATTCGATACTCGCTACTAAGAACTTGCTGCGTAGGGTGTACTACGATGATCTCTTAAAAACCAACGATGTTGAAATTGCGGTACTGAAAAAATCACTAAAAGCGAAAAGCAATTTGTAAATATTTTTTTATTAATCAAATTATTAATAAAGATTATTTTTTTCCTTATATCCTTATAAATATAGATATAGTTGTTGTCAAATGTACATATACGTATAAAATAACGTGTGATGAATTTTATAATTATGTAAAGAGAAATAAATTTTTAAGCCTTTTATAATTACGATACTCTTTTACTGCTTCGTCGGTATAAATCAAACCAAATACCATTTAAAAATATATCTTTTAATTTCCCTCGTTAAGTTAAATAAAAAAACGCATTCGTAATCTAGACTGTCGCGACTAAACAATAAAATTCAACTACAAATAAAACGAAATGCATCGAAGATCATCAAGTTTCTCTTCCATTACGGAGCTATTCCGGCCGAACAATCCTAGGAGACTGCGGTCAAGAGATTTAAGCAGCACTCGCCTTAATGCCCTCAAAAAAGAAATAGAGACTAACACACACCTTATTCCACTGAGTTAGTAGTCGCATATTCTCTTATTATATAATATAATATATATGAAGTATTTTACATGATGTGTTTAGTCTAAAAACAAAGATGTTACGTGGCCTACTCGTATATCCAATCCAAGGTGCACTATTATACATTGTAGACTGTACAAAACTTTATTAATGACGATGATATTTAATTTGTTTATACTAAGTATTTACATTAAATAAAAATAATCAATGTAATCGGATATTGGCATAATTTCGAATAGGACCTTTGAATATAATATTTTTATATGAAAATTCGTAGAAGATCTATACACTCGATTAGGAACGGATCCAATAAAAGGACTGACGAGCGCAGCTGCCGCGGAACTCTTGGAGTACTACGGCCCTAACACTTTAACTCCTACTTCGCACTTTCAATGGCCGAAGATGTTACTAAAATGCCTGTTTACTGGTAAAATATTAAACCTTAAAATACTTAAAGTTCTAAACATATTACAGAAGCTTACGTATACCTGACTAACACTATATTTTAATTAATGTTCTGTCTTAAACTTCTCATTTACTAAGTATGCTTTTCCACTTTATGTTAATGAATAACGATGTTATTTTGTCAAAAGGTTTTTCAATATTAATATGGTTCGGTGCAATTCTTTGTTTGTTATCGTACGTGATTGAATCGTCGATGAAGGCACGTCCGAGCACTGATAACTTGTATTTGGGCTGCGTGCTTATAGCAGTCGACATCATATGTGGTTTATTCAGCTTCTTCCAAAACTTTAAAAGTACAAAGGTAAGTTAAAAAAAAACTCGCAGTAAATTAGCTTAAGTAAAATCATGAGTAAAAGTAGCAACTGATAATGCTAATAAGTAACCTGGATTTACACGAGGACCTCAAAGTATAAAGTATCTAGTCCCTGATATTCAACGTTACTTACCTTTTTAGATATTAAAAACATTTAACAACATGATACCGATGTCAACGAAATGCATTCGAGAGGGAGTGTGGAACGCGGAGACGCCGGTGTCCAATCTGGTCAGAGGTGACATCGTGCACGTGAAGGCTGGTGACGTCATACCTGCAGATATTCGGATTATAGACAGCAAAGGATTCAAAGTAATATTATGAAAAACAACTAATTCTGCTAACTAGAAACCAGTTATCCGTTCTGTGTACCGGCTACAAGTAGTGCCGTACTTACAAAATTAAAAAGTAGTACAATGTCGTTCTTATTTCAGGTAGACAATTCATCGTTAACTGGGGAAAGCAGAGCTGTTACTCGTTCCAATACAGAAGGAACAACAAACATATTAGAATCACAAAATGTCGCCTTTTTTTCAGCGCAGTGCGTCGAAGGATGGGCTCTTGGTAACTATAATCAAAATAATCAGTGATACTTTTTTGTTCATAAGGAGGTTGATTATATTAGAGGTAAATTATATGCCGATTATATCGGCTCGAAGGACCAACTGTATTTATAGCCAGTACAACAAATTCCAGGTGTCGTTCTATGCTGTGGTGACTTGACGGCGCTCGGCCGTGTCGCAGGACTGGCGGCACGCTTGGAGCCGGCGCCTTCGCCCCTATGTAGGGAAATTAATCGCTTCATGTGGTACATGTCCATCTGGGCACTAGGACTGGGTGTTTTCATTGCCGCATCATCTTTTATTCTTGGATACCCTTTCATACAAACTACGATATTCGTGATAGGAATTATAGTTGCCAACATTCCTGAAGGTACACAAAATTGTATTTTCTGAGATTTTTTTTATAAAAGATTATAAGCAGTGTGTACAGAACGTCTTGTTTCAAAGGATTGCAGCCAACAATTACCGCGTCGTTAACGCTCACAGCTCAACGCATGGTAAAGAAAAACTGCCTCGTCAAAAATTTGGAGGCTATTGAAGCTCTAGGTGCAGTTACGATTATTTGCTCGGACAAAACTGGTACTCTAACTAAAAATAAAATGTGCGTCAGAGACATATGGACTTGGAACCAAAAATATTCAGTATTGGACCCCAATTTTGAAGGTGAACGATTCCTACATATTTACATAAGCTTTATTGAATTAGAGTGATAATTTTTTGTGATAAATTCCATTAACACGTATAAATAAATAAATAAATGGAATTTATATTATTTTCAGATAGTTTAAAGAATAACAAAGGTAAAAAACACATTTCGTAACATACTAAAGAGTCCAAAATTACGAGTAATATTTTTGTATTGATGCAATTTTTGTGATGAATTCTAATCATATCTATATGTTTTCAGCCGTAGAAGCTTTAAAAACATGCGGTGCGTTATGTAGCACAGCAACTTTTGATGAAAGTGGGGAAATCCACGGAGATGCATCCGAAACGGCTATCTTAACATTTCTCTGCACGTACAATGACCCGGCGACAGTTCGGCAGAACTATCCAAAAATTGTTGAAATACCTTTCAACTCTACTAATAAATATCAAGTAAGCAAGAAACTTAACATTTCATAGACATACGTAAGAAAATTATAGGATAAAATATGAGATGTAAAATTTAGTACGACATAGCCAGTAAATTTGAAATTTTATTTTCTACTAGTATTATCACTCCCTATTTATCCTCTAAATTAGCAAATAATTATTTTAATGAACGTTTATAAATGAGTTATTGGTTACTGAAAATTCGTTAATTTCAGGTGAGCGTACACAACGATAGGAAAATGTCTCGATACGTGGTTGTAATGAAAGGCGCTCCCGAGTGTATATTGTCCCGATGCAGCTCTGTAGTTGTAGCTAATAATAATGTTGATATAACCAATGAAGTCAAGAAAGCAGTAAATAAAGCTATCGAAGATCTTGCTACAACAGGTATGCGTCATCTTTGCAATGCAATTGCAGATCAGAACAGATTGAAAATATTTGGTACTTTCAGGTGAAAGAGTTTTGGCATTTGCCGATTTGATACTGGATTCAAAAGAGTTTCCCGCAAATTATGAATTCGATACGGAAAATGTCAATTTTCCATTGGATGGTCTTCGGTTAATTGGTATAATAGGATTGAAAGATCCACCACGAGAGGAGGTACAGTATAATTAGAATTTTTTTGAATAGATATATAGAACGAATACTAAATTTAATGGGCAACTGAGGCTCTTTGCTTAAATTTAGAAAGACTTTTAATATCCAGATGGTATTCCCAAGTTGGCGAAGGAGTGTGAATCTTTTAAACCTTGTTATTATTTTGACACTACATATTTTAATGTTTAAATTATATATGTAGTGTAAAAATACTAATGTTGTATAATTGTATAAAACAGGTGAAGCACGCAATAGAACGCGTGCGTGCAGCAGGAGTTCGAGTCATGATGGTGACAGGCGACCACCCGGCAACCGCACGGGCAGTGGCGCAGGAGGTGGGCATTGCGACCTCTCCCACCTGCCATGTTGTCACAGGGAACGATCTAAGAAATATGACTCCTGACTTACTGTATCTGACTCTGGAAAAACATTACGAGATTGGTAAGATTGTTTATTTATTTGCACATTTATGCCCCTTTTCAGGCGTGAAACATATTATTTCTTAATAATATAACAAATTACTAAGACGTACTAAATTAGTTTTGTTAATACGTGGGATATAAAGATATTTTCGCACTAGTCCTGCTTATTGATCTTGAGAAATTGAGGTTTTATCAGAAAACATGTGACAGTATTTGCTCGGACGTCGCCTACTCAGAAGCTACAGATAGTGGAGGCGTGCCAGCGACGCGGCGGCGTGGTGGCCGTCACTGGGGACGGTGTCAACGACGCTCCCGCCCTGCGCCGCGCCGACATAGGCATATCCATGGGCATTACGGGATCACAGGTTTATTATATTTCACTAATAATTTGCAAAAGTATAACTATACATTTATGTTACTAAGTAAAATCGATCCTAAATAACGCAAATTTGTGCCATATTTGATTGTCGTGATCCCGAATCACATTGTGGAAGTCTGATAACAAATTTTCGAATTTATTTCTACTGGTATAAGATTTTATTTTTGTTAGGTATCGAAGCAGACAGCGGATATCATTCTAATGGACGACAATTTCGCTACGATTGTAATTGGAATTGAAGAGGGTCGGAAAATATTTGACAACCTGAAGAAGTCCGTGTGCTACATTCTAATATCCAACGTGCCTGAAATCCTGCCAGTTTTAATGTTTATCTTGTTTTCTATACCGTTGCCCTTAGGTTAGATTTAACATTTTTTAAATTTAAAAAAATGTTATGAATCACAAAACGATACAATATTTAAAACAAGATAAAAAGGTCTTAATATAATGAACACTAACCTTTTTTATTACAAACAACTTATGCGTAAACATGTAAACAGAAATTTGGTCTCACGCAAAATACTGACAAAATATGTTACCTCTAAAGTAGTCAGATTTAATCAAATTACGTCGTCAATGCCCATATAACATCAAAGTTTATTTAACACTAGATGTAGACAAGTCTGCTTCTGGCAATAAACAGCTAACGATGATTATTTGGCGCTTACCTATATTAGTGTGCAGGTGTTATGACAATCCTGTGCGTGGACCTGGGCACAGACATGTGGCCGGCGGTGTCGCTATCGTACGAGAGCGCGGAGGCGGACGTGATGGGCCGGCCGCCGCGGCAAGGCGACGGTCTGGTCTCTGGGCGCATGCTCTACCTCGTCTACGGCCATCTTGGCCTCATTGAATTCGCGGCGGGCATGTACGCCTACTTCACCGTCATGGCCGAACATGGCTTCTACCCAGCAGATCTCTTTGGTATTAGATTTTCAAAGTAACTGTGTCTTTTATGGCAGTTCATATTTGGCTAATATAAGCACCTTACAAACAATATGTTTCGCATATGTTAGGCCAAACAAGGATTGTCAATTGTTCAAGGTATAAGACAGCGCTGGGATAACGAAGCGGTGACCGATGTGCGGGATTCCTTTGGCCAGGAGTGGACGTACGAGGAACGGAAGGAGCTGGAACGCGCCTGCCAGGCAACGTACTTCGTGGCCGTCGTCGTCACGCAGATCATGAACGGCATTATATGCAAAACAAGATTTAATTCTATTTTCGAAGTCGGTAAGGATATTATAAGTACAGTATGGATGTGACCTTGACCAACTTGTAATTCTCACATGATGATGACAGCTGAGATGTGACTATAATATGGTCAGAAGTTAATACAATAATATCATCTCATAATAATTCCAAGCTTTATTCCAGGAATGAAGAACAAAGTTTTAAATCTGGGTTTGATATTTGAGTTGTTGCTCGCTTGCATTCTTTGTTACGTCCCGGTGCTTAATGATTTCTTTTGTACATATCCTCTGCGACCTCAATGGTAAGTTTGCTAAACAGACTATGCCCAAGAGATCTGTAGACGAAACATGTTTTAAGCATCACAAAATATTCAAATACGTTCATCAATGATTGTCTCAAAACAGATGCATACAGTTTAATATTTTGCAACATTTTATAGTTAATAATACTTTTCAGGTGGTTTTTAGCGGTCCCATTCGCACTACTATTACTGGTTTTCGATGAGTTACGAAAATTCTGCATCAGAAATTGCCTTTTCGATGGATGGTATAACCATCTTACTTTTTACTAGAGAACAAGTGTGAAACGAAAAAGTAAACAAAGTCAATTATTGTCTTCAAGAATAAATGTTTTATCGAATAAAACAAATATATTATAACATAATAAATTTAATGAGCAATCAACTGAAGATCACAACACAACATTTTTATTATAGATTCATGTCATTCAATGGTTACTATATACTAACAACTGATATGTACCTAATGGAATAAGGCACGACAAAATATTCACTTTAAAACACAATAAAAACCTAAACAATATTAAAACAATTGAGTGTATCTCACTTTGATATTTACAATTCAACTTATTCTAATTTTAAACTATGATATACTAATTTGTTGATTGTAATCAACATATTTAAAAATATAAAAGAGAAAAAAAATGTAGAATCATTTGAGTTTTGACAAAAGAAACGAAACACAAGTTCATTTACTCGATGTATTCTTCAAACATTTAAGATATAGATTAAACCATCAAATAAAACCACACTATAAAATAATTTAAGGCGAAATTTAAAAAGAAAATAGATAAATTGAAATTTAATATAACTACCACAATCATATCATACATAACTCTATTTTATTTAAATTTTATAAGATATAATGAAATTCAAATTTTAATACTATTAAAAGATTTGTATAAAATATGTACGTGTATAATGTTTTTTTGGAAGGATTTAGAAGAATAAAAGGTTGTAAAAATAGAAGGAACCCTGTCTACCTACTACTATAGAAAAATTACTAGAATATTTATTTATATATTTCAGATATGTTTTATTTACATATTTAAGATAAAATATGTAACTAATAGAATAAAGTGCTATAAAAATTCTAAATATGAAATTGAGAAGATAGAAATATAATAAAATATGAAGAAGGAATATTTTTATAATAATAATACTTATAGGCTAAGTTTTAAAAAATAAAATTGCACATTCCACTTAGTTTCATGAAATAATCAACTAACGTGTTCATATTTTGATATTTTTCTTTGAGACAGAAGATTGTTAAATTTACAGAATATTTTGACTCACGGAATTCTTCACTTTGTAAATTAGAGGCACATTATCACTTAATTACAACTAAATATAGCTAAAACAAACTTAAGTGTAACATCGTGCAAGATCTCTCACAGAACTTTGTATTTCAACTTGGACATCACTTAAGACTTCAACCATTACTCCAATATTATCTTTGCAATAAAAATATTTAAAAACTCCATATACATGTTAAGTAAACACTTTTTAATACTTTAATAGAATATAAATGGCAAAAAAAAACTAGAACTATATGGTAAATAATATAAATCCCATAGTAAAATAATTTTTAAATATATGCTCATTTCCTCTTTAAAATACGGATTTTTAATAAAACAATAAGTACTTTTGGAGCGAAATCATTTTTAAATTCTGTAACATTATAATTTAAAACAATCATAATATTTTTATTTCTATGACATTTTTGTTTGACTAGCTATGTTTGCGTCTTTTTTAAGTTTGGCACTTATATAAAACAAATTGGTCAATAACATACTGGTATACTATGTTTGTAATTTAAAATGTTGCAGTTTTTTTCATTGTATACGGTTTAAAAATTATTATTTTTCTAGGTTAAATTTAATTAGTACAAATTATATTTTATTTGTAAGATCACATAAAGTCGAACCTGGCCAAACGAGAGCCTAAGGGACCGCGATATTTTTCTCACTTGTAGAGGTTCCTCTCCAACACGGTTTTCTCGCTAACACCGGTTCAATTGTTTTTATGCGCTTGTATGAATATACCACTACATCACAACCAAACAAGATATATTTTTTAAAAGTAACTACACAAACAAACTTAATATTTTTGACAAATAACTTTAAAATTACCCAACATATCACGATTTGTCGTTTATTATTCATTAAAGAATTGAGCTCATCGCTTATCACGATAATTAAACAAACCGATAGAAAAATTCACACGTATATATAACATTCTTATCGACAGATTACAAAGTCATTTCTACCATAGATTTTTAACCCACAAAGTCGCACAAGATGCCCTTTTGAGCCCTTAAAATTACAATTATGTCCGAAAATAAGTGTCAATAATAATGAAAAAATTAAGTAACAGTGTAATTATAAGTAAAAGTGCCTAGTTTGTGGTCTGCCTGTTAAATGCTGCGCGTGCAAGTTGTGCGTGCAGAGCCGGGGCACCGCGCAAGTCTGCGATCGAATGACGAGCCTTCATCAGCGCCTCCTCGCGACACACGTTGTCGTGCAGAATACACTCCATTATCTTAGCTACAATTGTCGATGGTGGTACATGGGGATTCCCTGAAACACAATAATCCATACATTTAATATACTAAAACATTAAATTCCTCACTCTAACTGCATAATCTTAGTCATTCTACCAGTTATTTTAGTTACCTTAGGCCTTTTTTTCATGCAACTACGTTCACACTTAAACGATTTTGAAGAGGTGAACAAATAAATAAAATTTCAACACAATTAATACAATAGACACTTGATATAAAGCTCTCACAAAATGAATTAGAATTTCAACAAGCTAAATTGGTTTGTCTCGCGAGACGTGTGATGCTTTACTCTCGAGAGTACATCGTAAGTGTGCAATAATAATTAGAACAACTTAGCGACGCTCGCAAAAGCGGCTTGTAAATGGTAACGACACTACTCATGATATTTAACAAAATTGCGAATTTTAAAATTCAACCGACTGTCGAATAACTGGGAAGTATAAACAAAATATAAACGAATATCTTTTTGTTCTCATTTTGAACAGAATAAGTTCTTATATCAAACGTTGTCTTTTGATCGATTTAATTATAAGCAGCC